AAGCAATTGGCTGCCGCTGACAAGGCAATCAGAACAAAAGTTGCCAGACCTTACTGACAAAACGCAACAATTCCCGACATTCGTGATTGAGTCTGAGCGAAGACAGGAATACTGACGGATACTCTTGGCCAATCAGAAAGAGAATTGCGACGCGAAGCGGCTCGCACGCCCTGCAGCAGAGCAAGAAAGGGCCGCAGGCACATATGTGGCGCTCCAATTGATGCCGCCGCTGCCGGCGTTTCCGCAAACGAGGTGCACCAGAGAACCGCGCTAGCTGGCTCGGGCCGAAGATCATTCAGTTTCGTCCGAGTCAGAGACTCATCAGTCGTGAGATAGCCTGGTCAGTCATCAGTGTGAGTTTTGGCTAGCCTATTTGCCTGTCTGACGAAGAGAAGACATAACGACCACGAGATCGCGATCGTAATCATGAGGGACGCTTTACCCCACACGTATCACCACGCACACGATATCAGACACACTCTGACTGACACTCCTTCGTGTGAATCGGCTTGCTGAAGTCCTGTACCCATGTAACAGGTCGTATAGGTGTAGTGCATACGTCTCCCTCGTGACGTGCTGCTTGCCCCCTCGCTCTTCATCCCCACGATCCCATCCAAACAAATCTCCATCGTCTGGCCAATAGAAATAGAGTCCCCCGCGTGCAGCATCGACTTCACCTCTGTGATTCGCGCAAGGAACTTCCGGAGCAAGTCGTCCGAAAGATCACACCCACACGTCGTTGTGTAACATCCACCTTGCTTGCGCGCACAGCCTCTTGCGCTTCTACACGATGGCTGAGTTGCAGCCACACTTGGCTGTCAAGCCCGGCTCCTCGCCTCCCTCGCCGGATCAGGACGGCTTGACGGATCTCAAGACGCATCAGCATGATGGGGAGGAGCTCGAGGGGGGATTACGCGGCACGAGGAATATCGAACACAACGAGGAGCTGGCTCGAGCTGATCACCAATGGTGGACAAATGAAGAGGATCGAAGTGTGCTACGAAAGTTGGATATCCGCCTTGTGCCTCTCTTATTTGTCACCTACATGCTCGCAGCTCTCGACCGATCCAACATCGGCAACGCAAAGACGGCAGGGATGAACGACGACTTGGGCATTTCCGATCCCGATTTTCAATGGCTTCTTACCATCTTCTACATCTCTTACTGCTTATTCCAGTTCCAAGTGCTGGCATACAAGATCTTCAGACCGTCCAGGTGGATCTTCTTTTGCGTCATTGTATGGGGAGTGGCATCCACTCTGCAAGCTACAGCCACTGGGTGGAGTGGACTCATGGCTGCGCGCTTCTTCCTAGGAGTCAGCGAAGCCGGGTACGGTACAGGTGCGTAAGCCAAATGCGTCTCTTTCTCTTTTGCAGCGCTTTGACCTTGGCTGACGTCTCCTCGTTTTCTTGCAGGTGTTGCTCTTTATTACAGCTTCTTCTACCCCAAGCAGGAAATCGGCATTCGTTTCGCGTGGTTCATCACTGGTGGAGCGCTGGCATCTTGCATAGGGGGATCCATAGCTTATGGCATTCAGCAAGCCAAAACGTCTGTCGAGAATTGGCGCTTGCTGTTCATCATCGAGGGCATTCCAACCGTGGTTCTCGCCTTTGTTCTCCTGTGGCTTATGCCCGACTCGATCGCCACCAGCTCTTTCTTGACTCTGCGAGAGCGTCTGATCGCAGAGGCTCGGCTCTTTCGCGATCTGACAGATCGGACGGCAGAAGAAGAGGTGGAGGAGACCGCTGCCACATCACAGCGAGACGGAGCGACGAAATCGTTGATGACGAGCAAATTTACAGGTCTTCGTTCCGGCATTGGTCAGAAGCTCGACACCAAGAACCTGGCCGCAGCTTTCAAGGATCCTCTGAGCTACACCAACTCTATTCTGATTTTCATCACCAACGTCTCGTACAGCAGCGTACCCGTCTACCTGCCCACCATCTTGAATGGTATGGGCTACACCAGCATCCGAGCGCAAGGCTTCTCAGCCCCACCGTACCTGGCTGCTTGGGTCTTCTCTTTGCTTTACGTCTACACGGCCATGAAGCTGCGCGTTTGTGGTCCCTTTATCATACCCGCTACGCTGGCTGGAGCAGCAGGCTACCTCGTCTTGGCTCTTTCCAAGGACGATCACACTCGATACGGTGCGGTCTATCTCGTCGTCATTGCTCTCTTCACGCAGATTCCCATGCTCTACATGTTCCTGCTCAACAATACACCTGGCGAATCGCGCAGAGGTGCAGGGCTAGTCATCTTTGGGGTCATAGGTCAAGCTGGACCTTTTTTGGGCACAAGGCTTTTCCCAGCCAAGCAAGGCCCCTACTACGCCAAGGGCATGTTTATAAGCGCTGGATTGCTCTTTGCTGCTACGGCCATCTCTACCGCGACTACGGTGATGTTGTGGCAGAGAAACCGCATGAGGGATCGAGCCGAGGAAGCGCTAGAGAAAGAAGCAGACCAGCTTGATAAGACGCCCGAGTCACTCGCTGTTCTTCCTGCTGAAGAAGCTGCAGAGAGAAAAGCGTGGCTCAAGAGGCTCGACGCTAGCAGACGAGGAGAGGACAGTCCGTACTGTAAGTGGCGGCAATTGCATGTGGGACGAAGTTGCGACGTGTCTGACCTCGCGCTTTGTCCTTTGCGTACAACAGATCGCTACACGATCTGAACAGCGCGGTGCTGCGAGAGGGGACACGGAGTAAATCCTGGCCTAGCTTTGTTATCATCTGTTCTCACAAAATCAGGCGCTGCGTGTCTTTTAGCGAATTTTGAATGACAGTTCATACGCTTTCTATCCGCTCGACTCGAATGGCTGTAGCTGATCCAGGATGAGGCATGGAGGCTCATGATGCCGCAAGGGCGGAAAATGGGAGCGAACTATAGCCATCGATTGAGAAAAGGCTTGGCTGTGAGAAGGTGAGGAAAAGATTTTAAAAGAAATATTCTCGATGAACGGCAGCGGTCCTAGCTGCTGGGGAGATATAGTCGACCCCTCGGGTCTCCGCGTCCACTTTGCATGGCCCTCGTGCGTGCCTCGTCATCCGCACAGTGCACACGCAGAGCGGCAGCAGCACTCACGACTATACTCACGACTGCTGTATCGACTGGTTACAACGGGGTAGCCACCTAACGAGTGCCAAACTTGCCCTTGCGATGAAATTCTACAGCTGCCAGACCGCGCTCGGCGCGCGTGCAGCGTGCAGCTAGCAGTGCGCGCGTCAGCTTCAATTAGCGTCGTGATAGTCAAGAGTAGGCCGCCTCAGAAGAGTCGTGCGTCAGCAGCATCATGATTAGTCGTGCTGTTGAGGGAGGCGGCATGAAGCCCCTCTTTGCAATGAACGCTTGCGGGCGGTCTGGCAGGCGCGGCATCAGGCGCGGCAGGCATCTCAATTAAATTCCTCTTCGCTCTCAATCGCGCGGCTCCTTTGCCTGCCGACGTACGAGTGCTACTATACTGCTGCACGCAGGTTTCACTGGAGAGGAGCAGTCTTGCTCGTCCGCGGCGACAGAACAGTCATATCTGCTGATGAAGCAAGCAGCCACCTGGCCCGCGTGCCGGGTACTCGCGGCCGCCTGCTGAACTGCCTGCTGCTCCTGCTACGAGCACTCACCATGCATGCATGTACAGTATAGCGGTCAAGTGTGTCGCATCAGCTGCATATGTGCAGGCTGGCGGCGCTCTTTGTCCTTCATGCGCGCCTCGCGCTCTCGTCCGTACTGAGTCACTCAATGGACGCGCGAGATGGGGCGATTGCCGCGCCAAGCGTGAGCGTGGAATGCCCACTGAGAACGGCCATGCAGAAAGCAACGCCCGCGTCTCGCCGCCCATCGCATCACCTGCCCCTTGTCTATGCGTGCGATTGCCTCTCCCTCACTCCGTTCACTAGGCCTCCATCTCTCCCGCCCCCAGCTTCTCGGTCCCAATCAGCTCTCCAGTCTCGTCACATTCTCATCGGCTACGTACTGTGTACAGCCTTGATCCCCTCTCCCTCACTTTGAATCTCTCGCTTGGCGTTCAAAAAATCGCACCGCAACTTCGCTTAACCAGCGCACAAACATCGACCAAGCGCGCCATTCTTTCGCTTTGAGCAGCAAACATCAGCTCTGCTAGAAAGCTTCAATCTCACCCTCACCGTCGTTCATCCAAATTTTGAACTTCTCCAGACGAAATGTCATCCGACGCAGCTTCTCATCCCGATGCTGGGCTCCTCCTGGAGCGCCAGCCGATCCGCAAGGTCGACACTCAACATTTGCGTCTCGGCCATGCCCTCGCCTCTCACCAGCTCAACCACCGTCGGCACCACCACGAGCTTGCGAACATGAAGCTAGCCAAGCGAGTGCTCGAATCTCGCGATGCTGCCAACTGCGCTGCCGGTGGACTGTATCTCGCTCCAGCGGCAGATGCTACCGTCCCATCCGCCAATAAGACGACAATATCGTGGGATAACTCTTGCTTGGACAAGAGCATTGACAAGATTGACGTCTACGTGTACGCCCCTGGCTCTCAAAGCGCCTCACTTCCCATCCACGCATACGTTGGCATTCCTGCCAACCGTGGCTCCTACGACATCAAGCTGGCGCCCAAGTGGTGGAACGCTACGTCGAACGTGGACCTTCAGCTCAACATTGTCAAGAGCGGCAATGAGCCATGGGACTCTTCAAACCCTTCAGGCCCCATCTGGCATGCGACCTACGCTGCTCCTCTAGACGGCTCTGCTCCTCCTGATGATGCCGTTCTTGGAGGCTCCGACTCCAAGATTGACAGCGTCGTCAGCGTCTTCTACTCTGGTGGTTCCTTGACTGCTAGCGGTAAGACTGCCGCCATCGTCTGCCCCATCATCGTCGTCCTGTGTGCTCTTGGTGTTTGGATACGTAAACTGCACATCAATCGTAATAACAAGACCGCCGACTGGGCCGACCACATGGACAAGCGCATGTCTCGTATCTCGCTCGACTGGAATTCTGGTGGCGATGGCGCCCACGGACCTACGCCTGGCTCGCGACCCGCCTCATTCATGCGCCCACAAAGCACGTTCGCGCGACCAAGCATGGGCGGTGATTCGTTCTCGAACAACATGGCCGGCCGTGGCGCTGGAGCGTATGACGGCATGGTCGACGATGAACCTGAAATGTCCGAGGCTTACGGTGGCTTCCGTCGCCCTCCAACAGAGGGCCGCGACAGCATGAACAGGCAATCTCGCATCTCTTTCGCCGCCGACACCGCTGGTGACCGCATTTCTCGCGTCTCTTACGGACCATCGTCTGAGGGTCACAGCGCCGTTCGCGGTCACAAGCAAAGCTCTTCGATGTCCCGCGTTCGCAGCTACTACGACCCCGATGCGCCTGCCATGCCCAAGCTCGACAACAGATGGCAGGAGGGCAACCGTGAATCTCGCTTCAACGCCGACGAGCCAACCGAGGAGGTCGACGATAGCCACGACCTCACCTACATGAGCCCAACCCAAAACCAAGGACCTACACCTATCGGCAACGGCGACGTTGACACCATGCGTGCCAGCCTGGATGCCCAGCGCGCTCTTGGCGGCAACAGCCGCAACCAGCGAGCATTGACACCTGCCGACGATGAGGCTGACAACGACTTCCGCAACTCTGTGCTCAAGTACCCTGCTCTCTCCATGGTCACCGGACGCGAAGGCAGCGACGGTCATGACATGTTTGGCCGTCCCGTTTCGGGACTGTCCGAGGGCGGCGAGAGTGCTTACGCCCCCGCTGAGCAAGGCCGTCAGGACGAGTATATCGACCACTCCCACTACGGTACTGCAGGCGCGCACGCCATCTCGCCCGACCATCCTGCTCGTCGAGGTGCTCCCTCCACCTCGGCGCAGACTGGCATGGCGCCCGCTCGCAATTTGACCTCGCCAGACGACGCTCTCCGTCAATACGCCGCTCTTCGTGCCGCTCCAGGAGCTGCACCGAGCAACGGTGGCATGAGGACACTGTACACTCCCGATCCCACACCGCAGGAGCCTGCTCCTGCGGCCGGACGCCGAGGCAGCAGCATCTACATTGACGCCCCGGGAGCTCCTGGCCTTGGTCACCGTGTGCAAGGCAGCGTCAACACTGCAGGCTCATCGCTCAACGAGGATGATGTGGTCGGCTACAACCAGATGGAGCACTTCAACTCTGGCCGTTGAGCTGATGTCCGCCTTGCCGTCCGCCTGTACACGCGTCCTGTTTACGATTGCCACGAGTATGCACGTCCTTCGCTCCCGCCTTTGTCACCCCAAAGTCATTCTTCAACCAAATTTCCGTCCGCCTCCGTCCTTTTCTTCCCTCACTCTTGCCCTTTTCCATCCGCAGATCACCGATAGCGCCGTTGGTGCTCGCACGTACACTCTCTACACGAACACCGAGCTGCCTTGACGAAGGCAGCGAGATTCTTTGGCATCCATTTCCCGAATGGTCAGTGTTGTTTTCGGCTTCTTCTCTTTTCGATCGAATTTCCCCTCCCAGCCCTTTCCAATTTCGAAACCTCTCACCTGGCCGTTGTACACAAATGTTTCCTGGAGCTAGACTGTATGCACCCGATGTGCCTGGCGCGCTCGGATATGCGACGATACGCTTCGGATCTCTTGTTTCTTCGGTATATCCATCGGTCCTTCAATTGGCTGGTTTTGCTTCGACACGCTGCAACACAGCATTCAGGCCTGTTTTGCAATAGTGAATTACAAATGCGGTAGATTCACATCCGGCCCGGTCTGTGCGTGAGTGAGCCGATGAGGAGAGGGAAGGGCTGTCTCTTTTACATGCGCCCAGCGGCTTGCTCCGCTTCATCAACTTGTGTGCACTGGCGACTCGTGGACGTGAAGTTTGTTGAGCGCCATTTTGCGGTCTGAGTGGCGTAGCAAGGCTCGCAGGCAGCAGAGGCGATGGAAGCTAGGTGAGGCGACATCGCAAGTCTTTGAAAACGCGATCTGCAGACATCCATGCAGCGCAGATGCGCGCAAGGTGCCATCGATCGATGCGTTGGACAACCGTCGCGCTATGGACCCGATTGTCACAGCAATGTGAATAGCATGATCCGACTATCTGCTCGTCGCGCACAGCGCAACAAAGAAGACGGGCAATCAGAAAGAAGCTCGATTAGTGGGCTTCGGCAAGCGCGGAAGCAGGAGGACTCAGCGCAACTCTTGACTGCTCCATCGCGCTGCCTCCTTGGTTTATCCTCCTCCTTCTGACCTGCAGAACCAAGGAGGCCCAAGCTCGACA